GGTTGAAGATGCTTGGTGGTCCTTTTATTGATGTCTGCCATCGTGGATGAGTTGGTGTGGGCAGGCGAATGGTGGAAAATAGCTGTCCTGCAGCATTGAGATCTGTGATTCATACTGATGTATGAGCTGTTTGTGCCTTAAATTATCTGACGAGAACGTTTTACGAAGCGTATACCATATAAATTTGTAGAGGGCTTGTGATGAACAGGGTTCCTTCCACTCCATTGCAACAGACTCAGTTTCAATATGATCTGGCTCATCTGTTCGATGCCATTTAGCTTTTGAGTTACAGTGAAGAAAATATATGTACTGACAAGTGAGGCTTTGTTGGAAACGCTCTAGCATAGCATTGCAATAATGGGTTCTAATGTGAGGACGGCTTTGATCACTTGATGAAGTGTTGATGTCTGTGACGTTGTGGCCAGTATCTTGCGAAGAGCAGTGAACATAAGTGGGATTATGGCTTTAAACAGAGAGTCAGTCTTTGTTCCACTTTCTTGGTTGGGTCCCGTCATGTGCATGTTGGAGGTCTTATGTGAAGTGATGTTTTTGATGTGTGGTTTGTCCGAAAACGAAGGTTTCCTAGAAACTGGTACTGTAGTTGTTGCGGTACATTTATCGGTGACCAGATTTGCAGGTGTGCTCTCTACGTCTTCGAGAGGGGGAAAGTCTTGAGCAGTCAGAGGCAGAGTATTGTTGGCGGAGGCGCTAGATTCTTGTATGTTGTTTGAATCCGTTGTTTTGTTTGCCTGTCTTTTGGCATGCACAGCACTTTTTGCCTCACGAAATGTGGTGTTATGCTCTAGCTTGTACCTCGCTACTTCTGCCTCCCTTGCCCTCACTGGGCACTCAGGTGCGTTGGAGGCGTGATTTCCATGACAGTTGACGCAGCAGGGGTTGGCTTTGCACTTGTCTTTGTGGCATTGTCCACACCGAGAACATAACTGGGTTTCTTCTGCGCAGGCAGCTGCGATGTGGCCGAATTTGTGACACCTGTAGCACTGCAAGGGGCGTGCTCGGTAGGGAATTACTTCCGTTCTTACAAGACCGACATTGACATGTTGAGGAGCTACTTTTGTTGCGAACGACACTCGCACAACGGGTGATGTCTTGCCAAGGCGTTTCACTTCCGTTATGGAGGCGGTTGACTGTAGTCGCGCTTTTATGTCGGTCTCTGTGCAGTCAGGGTCGATGTCTCGAAGGACGCCATAGCAATTTGTGCGGTCGCTAGGTAGAAAAGCGCGCACCGGCAGTGCGCATAGCTTGGTTAGCTTCAGGAGTTCGGCTTTGAGCGCAGGCCTTTTAACGTCAACCGCAACGATATTACGAGCTTTGTTGATACGAACTACACTAACCATGTCTGGTGCGACGTTGTTCAGGTAGTCAGTCAGTTTAAATTTGCTGAGCGATGCAACCTTGCTGGTGTCAGTTGGCATGTACAGTACTGTGAATCCTACTTGTAGGTTGGTCTTATCTTTAGAATGCGATGCTGAGCTCTGGCTTGTCTTTCGTCTTTTCTTGCCATGGACGACCTCGTAGTCACCGTCGTCGGAGTGCAACTCGTCGTTAGTACACACGATTGTCGATGAGGAGCTGCTCATTGTGTCAGCGGAGCAGTGTATGGGTGGGATCTCATAGCCATCTTTGATGATCGTCGATGTGCTTGGCTGTGCTTCATCCATGTCAATGGACATGAGAGCGTTCGATGACTCGATGTCCGAGGTCATATTTGTTGATGTCCTGGCCTCCCCTCAGGAGGTCCTTTGCGCACGAAGATCCTATGTCGTTCTGTTAGTTGTTAACCGCCGAATGTACTGTTTAAACACGCAATTTATCGGCTACGTAAGGAAAATTCAGAGACACGAAAAGGGTTACCAGCAGCAGTGTCGTCGTCGTCTTCTTTTTCCCCGTAGCGCCGTCTTTCCTGCACGGCATGTTGATCCCGCTCGTCACGTGACTGAATGCGGCGAATAGCGGCGCCGCGCGTTCGAGGCGCGCGGCGCGCCCCGTACGAAAATGTCAGATGGGAGCGGTCCCAGTTCGGGTCCGCGGAGTTCTGAACTTCTGGACAGTTCCGATCAGCGCGATTCTGGGCGTAACCAGTTGAATCCAGTAAGACGCAACGCACTGGAATCGCACGGTGATCGGTGAATCTGATCCGCTCCCCTTGTTCCAGTAGGGTCTGCTCCCAGCCAGCGGCTCCCAGCCCAGCGGGCGCGCAAACTGTGGGCGCGCATATGCGTGACTGGAGGAGGGGAGGGAGGGGGAGATGGCGGAGAACTTTCGCTGCTTTCGCCGCTTTCGCCACTTTCGCGGGCTCTCGCGTGTCACGTGTTAGGGACAGGCGCCTCCGCTGCATCCCCTACGCGGGCGCTGCGAGCGGGCGTTCTCCGCGCGCGCGCCCGGCTTTGTCTCCGAGTCAGAGGCCAGAGGCCTGAGGCCGGATTCACGAAACGTTCTTACGACAAAAAAGTTCGTAAATATAACTTACGCAAAAGTTACGAACTTTTTGGTATTCTCGAAGCAAAATGTTCTCAGTTTTTGCGTAAGTTACGACAAAATCCTACGACAGGGGTCCATTTCTTCTTACGAACATTTTCGCGACTGCTTGCTCAAAATGGCTGCCTACGTCGCCTTCTTACTCGACCAGCAGCGCGATGCGAGAAGGGCTTTGCATCAGCAGCGTGTCTTCCGGACTCGTCGAACATTAGAGACGATCGCGGACCACCACCTCGAGCGTTACTACCGCTTGCCGAGGCCAGCCGTGCAGAGGCTCTGCGATGCTCTGGCGCCGGCGCTTCGACGCCCGACAGCTCGGTCGTGCTCGCTCCCCGTCGACGTTCAAGTGCTGCTTGCGCTCCGCTTTTATGCGAGCGGGAGCTTTCAGTCGGTGGTGGGCGACGTTGCAAACATCAGCCAGTCGAGCTCCTCACGGATAATCAACGGAGTGAGCAGTGCGCTCTGCGATCTCGCCAACAGTGGCATAAAGTTTTCCACGACGTCGCGGGCAGCGTTGCTCACTGCACGCGGTAAGTGTTTTCCCCAATGTGGGGACCGTCGGTTCAATGCAATTAACAAAGCCAGAGCCACGTTAGCGCGCTTACTCGGACTGATCCTTATATTTGGATCTGCGGGCTAAAATTCCGCCATCGGCGTCCGCTTTCCGTGCGCGACGCAAAGTTTTGCTCTGAGGAACCGATCTCTCGCACAACATGAGTGTGTAGGCTGTTCTCTGCCGCAGATGCAGGCTGAAAGATGGAGGATTTGCACCACGCAAAGTGGCAATTAAAATCACTGCCCCCCCCCCCCCCCCCCCCCGTTTCCTGTTTAGTTAATTATGTTGAACGATCGTGATCGTACCTCATTTGAGGCATGTCTCATCTAGAAGTGTTATCTCAGGTAGGAAAAGTGTCTGCATTACCTGTTCTAGCTCTATAAAAATACACCATAACATAATCTTTGTTGTTTAACCTCTAGGCTTCTTGGAGATCAACGGGTTCCCCAAGGTGTTGGGGTGCATTGATGGGACACACATCGCCCTGAAAATCGCGAAAAAGGAGCAGCACCTCTACCGCAACAGGAAGGGCTACGACTCGCTGAATGTGCAAGCCATCTGCAACGCCAGCAACGAAATCACACAGCTCACAGTGAAGTGGCCAGGAAGCACGCACGACAGCTTCATGTGGAGAAACTGTGACCTCGCTGACAAGTTCGAGGCGGGCAACATGCCCGACGGGTGGTTGCTTGGTATGCTTTGGTCCCAATTTATAGAGTTATTTGATATTTAGCAGCCTGAATGACAATGCCTTATCACACTTAGAATCAGAAATGTATGTAATGCATTACTAGTAATAAGTTACTTCTACCGAGTTACTTTCTAAGAAAAGGAATGAGTAATGCACTTAGTTACTTTTAACGCCAAGTAACGAGTAATGCACTTAGTTACTTTTAAGGCCAAGTAACGAGTAAATGTATTTCGTTACCTTTGAGGAGCAAAGTGTACAACACTGTTTAAACAGCCTTGTTTTGATTTTAACCTGAGTATGCATCTATTGCGAGAAAGGCAAATGAGCAACCCAAAAAAACGACTAAACGCTATGACATTATAGCAACGTTTATCGCTGCACACGTCAGTCAAACTCTACAGCTGGGAATGTCCTTCACCGAGCGAACACAATGAGGTTAGTTGGTTGAACCTTCCAGAATCATGTACATAGCATCTTTTGGGGTAGACCAATCTCACCAACTACTCTGTGCACATGTGTCGCCACCATGACCGCAGTTCACAAAGAGCAGGCAGCAGTGCGCAGGACGGTCATACTGTTTCACGTTCTGCACGCGCAGGCTGGCAAATCGGTTTTCACGCCTGCGAAAGGACTGCAGCTCACAGAATAAATCGCAGCACAATGAGCACATCACAACCAAACTGGCTGGTAAAATGAGTCTATTGGATCTCGTCGAAAGTGATCATGATGCAGTTCACGAGCTGTTTTCGTGCGCACCTCATTATAATAAGTTATGAAAGCACACCAGCATAATGCCGATTGACATAGAAACTGAGAGAAGGTGGAAATCAAACCTGCGAACCTTTACGAGTGCGAACATTGGTTGAGTGCTTTGTTTAGTGTTGCTCACACGTAGCTCGTTCGCAGCTGACATAGCCATCAGAAAGAAACAAATTAGGTGGGAGTTGCACCAATGCAGCTACGAGAGGCAAAGTGTGAGGTAGTTAAATTTAGGTGGAACATTGTGTTGATTGCATTACACACTGGCATAAAATCTCACACCGTTTGCAATATTTTAGGGGACGCAGGTTACCCCCTCCAGCCGTGGCTCATGACTCCCTTCCGTAAGCCGCGGAAGAAGGAGGAAGAGAACTACAACGAGTGCCTCACGAAGACCAGACAGGTCATCGAGAGGACTTTCGGAATCCTCAAGTCACGCTTCAGATGCCTGGACAGGTCCGGGGGGGTCCTCCAGTACACCCCTAGTGTGTGCTGCCGCATAATTGTGGCCTGTGCAGTCCTGCACAATTACTGCATCCGCCACCATGTTTCCCTCGCTGAACCACCCGGTAAGGCTTTGTGCATTGGAGCACTAGGAATGCCACATTAACGAGTTTAGCGACAGCATTGTTCGGTGTGACCCCGGGCTCTTCATTCTGCTCGTCACAAGGGGGTAAAGGGGAAACTAATTCTGGTCGCCTGCAAGCTCAACAGTAATCTCTTTTACAAGCTCCCTGCTTACTCTAATTTTTATTTTGTAGGTATCAATTCGCACACTATTATATAAGGTGTGTCACCGCTTGCAAATACAGGCGTTAAATTTGCTGGAGGAAAGTCACGCAAACAGTCCGCTTGATCAAAGGCGCAGTCAACTTTGGCATTCATGAAGCTTTACCTAGAGTCACTATATGGTTTCAAATAGTACCAAAACCCCAAAGCTCATTTCAGAACCGCGTTGTGGCGCAACAGTCACATTAACAGATGTGTCAATATGTCGCTGCCCTGCGTGGTCGAAGCGAAGTGCGGACCATGTAGTGTCCGCTCTCACTCGATACTTTCACCGTACTCTTCCGGCCTGCGGTGGCAATGGTTTGTTTTTATTGACCTTCTTAGCTTCATTCGAAGCGTTTGCATGACTTGCGCACCGCTGGTTCACTTCGGGACTCATTGAAGCTGAGGCGGATGTTCTACCTTTTAAGCCTAGCGTCTCATTCGCAGCACCAGCTCTCCCTGTGCGCTCAAACGAGCCAGCAGGGTTTGGCAGGCTAGATCAGGCTACTTAAAAAATAAGGTACTAGAGAAAATCAACACACCTTACGCCTGTTCTTAACTTATCGTAAGCGTCACTCACCTGCTGGCTGTAGACCAACTCGTGTTTGCAAACAAAATGGAGCGCCCCTAGCGGACGCCATCGGCGCCGCACATGTGCGATAGAGTGTGGGCAAGAAGCTCGCCGTCGTCCATAAGCAAAGTATTGAAATACGATGTTGTCGCCGTCAGTGTCAATCCCCGTGCTTTTTCACGTTGGAATTTCTTATCCTACGTTTTCCTGGCAATGTGCGACTACTTTAGCGGCCTCAGCGAAATTAATGAGGCTCGTTACACCACAAAATGGCCTGAATAATGTGACATGCGGCGACTGATTCCACGTGGACACCACAGAATGGATGCTGAAGCCTGATTCGCACGATGACGTCGCTCGGGCTGCAATATGGTGAACCGTAGCTGAGATGGTCGACGTCGATACTAAGAATCTCAAGCAGAATCGGACCAAGTGAATCAGGCATAACAAGTCGGTGATGGCAGGCACGTAGCCAGGCCATGGGGCCCAGGCCCCCCTTGAAATCTTTCTTTTTGCTGGGGCCTCCTCTCCCCCCTCATATAACATTTTGTCATGGGCGGGCCCCCCCGAAACAAAATCCTGGCTACGTGCCTGGGTGATGGCCATGGGTGACAATGATCAACATCTCCTTGTATCTACTGTTTACACCGAGTCTACTTACACGAACCAACCTTCAAACTTAAAGGTCTTTTGATTAAGTTACTTCTGATCGGAATTACCGGGTCAACGTTCCGTCTACGGGACGCTGTTTGAACAAGCATACGAGAACAGGCAGAAACGTTTGAAAGAGCAGACGGCAGTTCGAACGATCAGGCAGCTGTTTGAATGTGATGAAGCACTGAACGTAGTCCGCAGGTGGTCCGTACAACTCTGGTTTTCCCTCCTTCATGTTGGAACAAAACAAATAAATCTGACGACCCCAACTATCCGCTAAATCAACCCAAAGTGCTTCCCGCACAAGTAATTGTGGTCTGATGGCGTCTGGTTTTCCTCTTTCACAGCACCTATCCACATTCTCGGACGAACCGAGCAGGCAGAAAACTCATAAAAAGTGACCTTAACTTTCCCCGACTCCTCTGGTACAGCCCCAGCCACAGTGTATTGACGAAAAGGCGGGTTTTTGTATTGTTTCTTCCAAAAGAGCGTAGGAATGCATGTCCCACATGGTGATTTCTGCTCACAGCTACAGACCGGAAGTGCGCCCAATGCGCCACCACCGAGCCGTGACGTAACAGAGTTGAATTTGTGTATAAGGCTCCTCCTGTACATATTGCAGAAGTGATTTGATCTAGTGTCGGGAGGGTCTATTATCACGAAGGGCCCTGCACCCGTGGTTGGCCACTCTGCTTCCAAAGTGGGTGGTAATGCCTCTCATATGTTAAAATCACATGAGACCCACAATTCCCTTTCCATACTGTTATTTTCGTTTATGAACTTTCAATAAGCCTCTATCTGGATTTGTGACACCCGCAATTTATAAATGAGTGCTTCCAGCACCTTAATTCAGCTATTGCAGTGTTATAAGTTTAAATTGTGCTTGCAAGCCTTCGAGGTGTTCATTTTCTGTTGTGCTAAATGTGGCATCCTGAACAGTTCCAGAATCTGAGGACGAGGAAGAGGAAGAAGACGACAGGCCAACCACTGCCCGAGACACGGCCACTGGCACCGCCGTCAGGAATGAGCTTGTGAACAGCGTTTTCAAGTGAAACTTCAGGAAAACGAGAGTCTTCAGTGCATTAAAGAAACAGTTTATTGTTATTCTACCTAAGTGAGGTTTTATTAATACCTGGGGACAATTTTGCCATTTTCAAACCGAACATTCAGTTTGTATGCCTTCAGTGCCACCATCTGCTCCTGCAGGACCACAATCCTGTCGAGGCGTTCCACAATAGCCTCCTGGGTCTCGATTATCTCGTGGCTAGGGGCGTCCCTGCTACCTGCACATCAGAGAAAAATAATTTCTTTGTGATTGAAAACCTAAAATTCTTGCACCACTTTCACGCTACTGTTGTGATACTTGTATGGAAAATTAATGTCCAGGTGTAGCTGTAGGAAGCATGCATGAATGAGCAAAACAAGTAGTTAATGAGATAATTGGGGGATCAGTGGCCGAGTGTTAGTGCATTGCAGCTCAGAGGCTGTAGATTGCATGGCAGATTGCCTTGGCATGGAATTTACAGTGGATCTCTCTTCTCGCACATGTTTTTTTGCTGCACATTCTATCTAGTATCATTTTTGTATTCAGAGTTAAATTTGTATTGCTGCATGCTGCAATCCAAATCTAGCAGGACTATACTCACGTTTGTGGTTAGACCTGCGGCTACCTGAAGTGCACGGCAGGGCCTCGCTCTCCTGGAGCCCACTTCCGCTTGCACCGTGGACATCTGAATAGAAATAACAGTAGAGCTGAGTACTAGGAAAATCTGCTGTTGAAGTATGTGGTCGGCTGGCGAGCAAGCATGATTATTCAACAAAATCTGAAGTCGCGCACCTGCATCACCCTGCGGGTGTTCCGGAATATTATCAGCCTGGCTGGAAGGCAAAAAAGATTTAGTTCTTATTAGGTAATGAAACAAGTATATTCACTATGTGCAATGTTATGATTGATAAGGCAGCAAACCTTGTATGTTGTGGCCTCACTGAACTAGGCCTGCTTGGTTCTGCAGTAGTATCTTGAACACAGATTAAGAAACATGTTGTACTGACCCAGAAAACTGAATCTTCGGTAAAAATATAGTACACTTCTGTCTACTGAGAAACCCTCAGACAAGGGAAGCGAAAAAAACAGAACAAACACAACATTAGATGATGGTACATCGTTGTGCTTGTCCTGTTTCTTCAACTTACTTGCATTGAGGTTTCTCAGTGTAACCGTTCACCAGCTTGCCTGTGCCTGAACTCTTATTACCGTTATGCCCTGTTTATCCAAATAATTTAGTCCCTCGTCGAGACCATTTGGATATAGAGCTATTTGATTAGTCAAGCTAGACTGAAATTTTTAGGCCGTGCTCCCAAACCAGGGGTTTGGTTTACAGGATGCCAAGGTGCAACATGACTAGTTAAATTAACCAGACCAGTATCTATTATGAACTCACCGAATGAAAGAACTAGGTCTACTGATCTGGGCCTAGCAGCGTCCGATGTTATGGGAGTGCCTGGAAAATTGAAATTTTAATTAGGAAACATACTACTTATGAAACATTTTTTTTGTTGTTGTTTTAGTGTGGTAATGTGGGTTTTAATAGAAAGGTGACATAATTTATATTGGAAAGATAAAGTAAAACCCTCTCTGACTAAGCTAGGGTCCAGGAATGGAATTAGTATAATGAAAGAGCATAATAATTTTGAGATACCCATTAATGAAGGAATGCTAGTGCCTTGCCGAGCCTCCTGTTAACCTACCGGAAAGCGGCAGGCTGAAGGGCTCGCCATTAGGTACCTCTACAGGAACACCAATGTCGAACGCGCCTGGGATGCCAATCATGGCCTCCACATTCAGAAGTCCCACGACCCTTTCCTCCATGTCGTTCAGGGGCTTGTCTCCTACGCCGCCTCCAGTCGCACACTGACTGCGCTTGAGGGCTGCACCTGTGGTTAGTACCAAATAACATTGCACAGATCTCGTCAGAAAAACGAGATATACATCGCGCGACTGATCAGCTGCTCCTGGATTTTCTTCGCGTAACAGACTGCCACTGTACTGTTAATGAGTTCGAATGTTGGTTAAAACCAGTGACATCTAACTGCGCATTATCTCGTGCACGACACTGGTATGAGCGAAATTCAAACGATTGCACATTTCATTACACGCTTGGGCTGAAGTCCTATGATGCTGACAGAAGACAATAACCTTCTGCGGCATTCGGGAACATAGCACTCGTCGCCCTTCGGCAACTTCACATCTTCAAGACTGCCGCCAAAAGTAATAAAAACTAACTTGAAGGAGTAAAATGTGCTCGCTCGTAGGCTCACCATTCGCGCCAAACGTTTCGCGTTACGACGCATATCGCAACAACTTAGTTCGCGAACTGTAAAAATGGGTTATCTTACCTCGCTTCTTCTGGGAACTCTTGTAGTCAGCCCATTTTTTCTTTACATCGGCGATCTCTCTTTTCACCCCAGACACAGCAAACAAGTCATTCGTAATCCTCTGCCAAGCCCGCTGCTTGGCGGCCGATCCATGGGGCCCGTCTCCTTTCGCGTCGATCGCGATTCTATGCGCTTCATACCCATCAACCAAGGTCGATAATTCGACCTCTGAAAAGTTCTTCATCCGAGCCTTCTTGTCGGCGGGCGGTGTCGACATTTCCCGGTGTCTATCGGTTCGACCGGCGAGAACGAATGCACGTGGCAGACAAACGCATGTGTGCGGACAAAGCGTCCCCTGCGGTTGACATGGCAACGCTTCCCTCTCGCAGCTCACGTTGGTCGCGAGACACCGGAAGTTTCTCTCTTTCCCTCACTTTTTTTGTCGTAGGATTTTCGTTCGTAAGTAGCCCTTCGAGAATACCGATTTCGGCATGTCGTAGGAACTTCTTGGGATACGAACTTCTTAGAAAAATTGTCTTAAGATAAGACGTTCTTCGTGAATCCGGCCTCAGATTCATAAAGAACCTCTTACCTACGACAACTTAGCTACGAAGTTCGTAAAGTTACGATCATCGTAAGATGAGGCGAGAACGGTATTCACAAACGCGTTCTTAAGTGAGAGGAGGAAAGTTACGACCTCCTACGGAGAAACGATGACTTCCGGTGCTGTTGCTATGGCAACGGCGTCTTCGGCAAAACGAACAACCAATTAGAGAGCTAGGCATAGTTCGGAGCACGTGGATTTTTAATAACAAACACAGGCTAACCACTCGTTGATAGACAGCTCCGTGTATGTCCTGTCCTGTCTGTGTGTAAATGTGTAGTGTTCAAGCTGATTCTCATAAACGCGGGCGACCTTTCCACCACCGGTTGTCTGGGGTTCGTGTCCGTGCAGTGGTATATCGACGCTAACAACGATGCTAACGCTTCGTTGACTGCTACAAACTCGATCGCTACGAAGTCAACACGACTGTCATCGTTGGTAAAAGCCCCGTGCCAGTCGTTTGCAAAGCGACGTAGAAGGAAACAAACCGCCGCGGCGTTTCTCGCGTGCTCGGAAATGCAGGAGTGAGCCGACGTTAAAAAAGATACGTTTGAACTCCGAGAGTGTCAGCAAGAGTCACGCAAATACCTGTTCACACTCGGAGCGGACGCGTGCGTTTGATCGAAGTGCTGGATTCAGACTGCGTTTCGGTAAGCGCTTCGGGACCGATCTTCTACGATTGCAACTCGATACTGACGTGACACTCGGCAAAGAAAGGTTGGACCGGCATCGCGTAGCTCCCACAAACTGATACAGCTCGACAGTTAAAAATGGCATACTGATAATAAAGTGTACATACCGTGTTGCGAAGGTAATCCATACGGCGTTTATTTGAGCTCTATATCACACAAAACAAGGAGATAGAATCGAGGAGTCCCTTTTCGACGACAGCTTTCGTCACCGCTGCCTCGGAAAACAAGGTGATCGAGATGATAAGGGGAATCGGTTGACCTCTGAAATTTAGTTCAGCTATCAAACTATTCATATGGGGAGGGTCCACAAGGGTCCCGCGGGCATATTCCACTCAGCAAGCCAGCCGGTCGTGGGCAGACGGTCTTGGCCAAGGACCGTCTGAGCAATGCTGCGCCGGAACGGGTCGGAGTGCCTGCTAGGCCTATATATTCTGTCGAGCTCGCTTGGTCGGTGGGATCGTCGCCTTTGTTGCCTTTTCCGGGTGTCTGGATCCAGCGTTCATGTTCGTCGTGGTCGGTTTCAAGTACTTCTTCATTTTTTTCTTGCTGCTTGAAGTCGGGACGCGCAAGAAGAACAGGCAGAAAAATAAATGTCCGTTGGGTCGTCGCGACCGAGCAACTGAGCGACGTTGTCGGCCATGTTAATTTGATCGTAGAAAGTGCGTAAGACAGCTTCGGAGCTGTCGTAGGATTTTGTCGTAACCTGCGCAAAAGTTACGACAATTTCGTTTCGAGAATACGGATTTTCTCTCAAATTTGTCGTACGCATTTTTTTCGTCGTAAGTTCGCTTTGAGAATCTGGCCTCTGATTCATAAAAAACCTCTTACCTACGACAACTTAGCTACGAAGTTCGTAAAGTTACGATCATCGTAAGATGAGGCGAGAACGGTATTCACAAACGCGTTCTTAAGTGAGAGGAGGAAAATTACGACCTCTTACGGAGAAACGATGACTTCCGGTGCTGTTGCTATGGCAACGGCGTCTTCGGCAAAACGAACAACCAATTAGAGAGCTAGGCATAGTTCGGAGCACGTGGATTTTTAATAACAAACACAGGCTAACCACTCGTTGATAGACAGCTCTGTGTATGTCCTGTCCTGTCTGTGTGTAAATGTGTAGTGTTCAAGCTGATTCTCATAAACACGGGTGACCTTTCCACCACCGCTTGTCTGGGGTTCGTGTCCGTGCAGTGGTATATCGACGCTAACACGATTTAAACGCTTCGTTGACTGCTACAAACTCGATCGCTACGAAGTCAACACAACTCATCGTTGGTAAAAGCCCCGTGCCAGACGTTTGCAAAGCGACGTAGAAGGAAACAAACCGCCGCGGCGTTTCTCGCGGCCTCGGAAATGCAGGAGTGAGCCGACGTTAAAAAAGATACGTTTGAACTACGAGAGTGTCAGCAAGAGTCACGCAAATACCTGTTCACACTCGGAGCGGACGCGTGCGTTTGATTGAAGTGCTGGATTCAGACTGCGTTTCGGTAAGCGCTTCGGGACCGATCTTCTACGATTGCAACTCGATACTGACGTGACACTCGGCAAAGAAAGGTTGGACCGGCATCACGTAGCTCCCACAAACTGATACAGCTAGCTCGACAGTTAAAAATGGCATACTAATAACAAAGTGTACATACCGTGTTGCGAAGGTAATCCATACAGCGTTTATTTGAGCTCTATATCACACAAAACAAGGAGATAGAATCGAGGAGTCCCTTTTCGACGACAGCGTTCGTCACCGCTGCCTCGTAAAACAAGGTGATCGAGATGATAAGGGGAATCGGTTGACCTCTGAAATTTAGTTCAGCTATCAAACTATTCACACGGGGAGGGTCCACAAGGGTCGCGCGGGCATATTCCATTCAGCAAGCCAGCCGGTCGTGGGCAGACGGTCTTGGCCAAGGACCGTCTGAGCAATGCTGCGCTGGAACGGGTCGGAGTGCCTGCTAGGCCTATATATTCTGCCGAGCTCGCTTGGTCGGTGGGATCGTCGCCTTTGTTGCCTTTTCCGGGTGTCTGTGGATCCAGCGTTCATGTTCGTCGTGGTCGGTTTCAAGTACTTCTTCATTTTTTTCTTGCTGCTTGAAGTCGGGACGCGCAAGAAGAGCAGGTAGAAAAATAAATGTCCGTTGGGTCGTCGCGACCGAGCAACTGAGCGACGTTGTCGGCCATGTTAATTTGATCGTAGAAAGTGCGTAAGACAGCTTCGGAGCTGTCGTAGGATTTTGTCGTAACCTGCGCAAAAGTTACGACAATTTCGTTTCGAGAATACGAATTTTCTCTCAAATTTGTCGTACGCATTTTTTTCGTCGTAAGTTCGCTTTGAGAATCCGGCCTCAGTTTAGTTTTGTTCTTCGCGCTCGCTGCACGGTCGGTCGGCGCTCGACCGGCGTCGACGTTCGCGCTGCGGGCGCACGGATACTGACGCGCCCATCGTTGCCCTGGATGGATACCTACTGACCTCGGCTTTGCATCTTTATTCAGTGTGAAGCTGCCGACCCATTGCACTTTGGCTCGGCATCTGGATGCGCTTGGCGCTGGTGTGCTTGGTGACAATACTTGGACAACTCGGATACCGCTTGCCCGCCAGAACTTCCCGATGCACTCCATCACTGGATACTGTGCTTGTGCGTGCTGTGTGTGTGTGTGTTCCGTGCACCATGTTTGGCGACGACGCGCGCCTTGCATTCGTTGTCTGTTGCAGCCTAGCGGCAGCGCTTCGACAGTTTCGGTTCTTCTCCGCTCCCGTCGGACTGCCGGCCGGCGGCGACGTTCGCGCTGCGGGCGCACGGATACTGACGCGTCCATCGTTGCCCTGGATGGATACCCACTGACCTCGGCTTTTAATGTTTATATGGTATGAAGCTGCCGACCCATTGCAGTTTGGCTCGGCATCTGGTTGCACTGGTGTGCTTGGTGACAATACTTGGGCAACTCGGATACCCCTTGCCCGCCGGAACTTCCCGACGCACTCAACACTGGATACTGTGCTTGTGCGTGCTGTGTGTGTGTGTTCCGTGCACTGTTTAATGACGACGCCTGGACGACCGTGTGCGCCGCCATAATTACCGCTGCGCTCACCACTGGACTCTACAGAAGCCT